GTGGATGGATTAAGTAGGGGGGTTTGAACCTTGCTACAAATGCTAGAACATTCCTGAGTCACCACACCTGAGGCTACCCGGCTACCTTTTTAACATAAGCCCCAATCCGGCAAACCCAAGTGATGTTCTTCGTGGAGCTCAAAGGACTCGGGGATTTATTAACCAACGGTAACTGCTAACACTGGAGTGCCAAGGGCTGTGCTAAGGGCTTTCCTCACAGTATCTCAGTTGCTTCTCAAGGCAATAAGCTAGGAGGTAGATATTGTCATCCTTATTTTACAGTAGAGGACACAGAAGCAAAGAGTGCCACAGCCTTAGGTGACATGGTTGACAGGACACTGAGACACGCTCTGAGCAAGTCTGTCGATGCCACGGGCTAGGAGTCAGTCACTGCACTGTCTTGGATCTGGGTGATCCTGGTTTTCTTGAAAACCAAGATTTCCTAAACAATTTTTCTCCTTTTATTAAATGTGGAAGCCATGTACTTCCATACTTGCATGCTTAAATATATGGACACTTCTAGTAATGAGGACAAGTCAGTGATTTGGAATTCAGGACCAGCTTTCCCCCAGAAACAGTGCCACACATGGGGCTGCTATTCCAGGGCAACCCACAAAAAGCCTTTATATCCTATAATATTGGCTGGAACCCTGTGGGACAAGTGCCTGTGGACAACGAGGGCCCATGGTGCTGTGGGGAAGAGACACGTGTGGGGAGTCAGGTAGAGAAGCAGCTCAGCTGAGTCTGGAACATGAACAGGCTGTTGCCAGGAGGACAAGGCTGGAGGCGCCTTCCAGCAGAGGAAAACCAAAGGCAAAGGCATGGGGGTGCATGGAGGATGGTGTACCCGGGAAACTTCAGAGGGTTCGGTCTGACCAGAGAGGATGTATGGGGTGTGGGAGAAGCTGAGGATCAGAAAGCCGAGTGCCAGGCTACGGAGTTCAGTTCTCTATGGCACACTTCTGGGAAGTACAACACGTTCCCGGTCTTTACAGAGACACTGGTCTGGGCCCTGGTGAGGACGGAGTAGGATGGGGTTGGGTGAGGAGTCAGAAATTCTGGACGGGAGAATGTAGAGCAGAAAAGCAGCCTCCCTCCACTCCTCGCCTGACATGTTCAGACAAGCCCTCCTGTGGAGGCAGAGGAGGGGCCTGTATTTTCAAAAGGACACTCCGGAGGTGGACTCACGGGAAGTCGAGAGTTCTGAGGCTACATCAATGGGCTAGGTGAGGGCCAGTGAGGACCCGAGTGAGAGACGAAGCAATAGGATGGATGTCCTAAAGTTTGGGGCCTTAATTTCTCAAGACTTGGCAAAGAAAGACAAAGTGGCAAATAGGGGCTAATGGTGGGTCTTTCACCACAAGGGCTAGACATACTTCCCTTGTAGCTTGGAGGAAAACCAGAGTCGAACTGTCTGTGTCCTTGGGCCACAGGTGCTGGGAATGCACAAGTGACTGGGGTGGGGGGTGGGGGGGGGAACAGAGCTAAGGCCAGGACAGGGCATTTGCCCACCAGGTCTCAGCTCAAATGTCATTTCTTCTAGGACATCTTCCCCAGCTCTACATTAGCCAAGGGTTCCCTGGAAGGTGCTTCCAGGCAGTTTTTCTAGAGTCAGTCATTGCTCATGATGTCATCACCTGTCTCAGGCTGTCAACTTTATAAAGGTAGAACTGTGTCTTGCTTGCTCATCATAGGCACAAGTGCCCAGAATTATGCATGGTACAGTGGGGAGTCTCTCAGAACTTGGGGTTCCGAGGAACACAGTTTGAAAATCACCAAGGGATAAACAGATGGTGCCATATGTTTGTGAGGGAAGCTGTCATCTCCCCTTTCCCTGCATTTCAAGTTCAGCTGGAGCTGAGAGTCAATGTCTGACTTTGAGACCCCTTGGCTCTGTGGTGTCAAGTGTCTTGGCGCCAGTGGCCGGCACGGGCAGGGATACCTGACTCCACTGGAGTGGCCTTGGGGTAATATTCTGGAGCAGAGAAGATGAGAGGATGAGAAACTCTTTTCTCCCTAATAGTAGATCCAGGCTGTAGCCTTCACAGCTTGCTGGCCAAAATTCGGGGCTGGCAAAGGCCACTCTGTCCCTAGGCAGTACCTAAGGTGGGCATCACCTATTGATCACAGCACATCCCTCCCAATCCTTCATCCAGCACCAAGGATGAAACCTAAGCATCAAGCCCAGGTTGAGGTGATTTTATCTGGGCTAGCTCCTGATGTCTGGATACCTGGGATCAGGAAGGTCAGACACCCACATGACAATGGGGGCTTTCTCCTTCTCCAATGGATGTGGAAATGGATGCCACCTCCCCTGCCAACCAGTCCCTCTGAGCTTCCTGTACTTTCTTTTATGTGTGACAAATCACCTGTGCTCCGGGCTGTGGTTCTCGGCTACTGTGCTCCATGCATGGACACGGTGCCCTGCTTAACTGTAGGTGATAACTAGGGCCCAGGAGAGGCCCATTTAGGCTGTGGTGATCATATTCCTCTTAAAAACAACTAATAGAAAACTAACTCTCCCTCACACAGAGAGGGATGGACCCAGAATGGTCGAATCATCCTGTCAGGAAGGTTGGGTTTTGATTTGCTGGGTTCCCGTTCCTTCATCTGGAAGGCAATATGAACCCACAAGCATCTGGAAGTGGCCATGAGCCCAGCTAAGCTATCATCTGTGTCTTGAGGGCAAGGGCCCAAGTTTTGGAAAATACTTCTGTTGACTCCTGCAGAGTACCCAGTGGAACTTTCCATGCAGAGGGTGAACCGACAAAATCATAGGTTTACTGCCTAATTGTCACAGTTAAGTATCATCCATTTTCAGAAAAGCACACATTATGTTTAGGCTGTAAGTGGAATTACGGAGTCAAGTAAGCTCTGAACTGATCGACTCATACCCAGTGGTTTCAGCTGTTTAAAATAGCTGAGCACGACAAAGGAAGTAAAAAAAAAAAGGCCCACAAACAACCCAAACAGATGCTATAAAGTCTCACACTAAGATGTGTAGACTTAACAGTAGGGAATCCCTATAGTTACTCTTAAAGCTTATATACTCCAACTTGACGATTCTAATGAGCTCAGACATGCCTCATTTGCAGATAATGGCCCATTAGGAAAAGCATATCCAAAGGGTGAGTGTACCTATGGAAGTGGTGACACTGACAGCAATAGAAGGTCCAGTTGGGAGCAGGGTCAAACAAACAACAAAAAACAAAAAACAAAAACAAAAAACAAAACATATGGAGCCCTGTAACAACTCCAAAAATTACAGTAGTTGGGAGATGTTTGATGTAGGGGCAATAATCCTAACCACCAGAGCCCATCTTACAAATGTCATTTTAGTATAGTAAGGCATGAAAATGATGGCGAATCATTTGTTAAAGACAAATTAAATTATATTCCTCTTTTAAAGATGGAGGGATGGATATAATTCATCCTGGAATTTTTTTTAATGCAAGATAGCATATATTTTACGTGCTTTGAAAATTAAAGGGATAAGCTTTGATCATCAGGAAAATTAACATATGTAGGATAGTTTTTTCCCCGGGGGTGTTGTTAGGCTGTGGCATCACTACAATAAGGATAGACACCAACCCCAAAGCTGAGTTGAGCCTGTAGAGGTGGAACGTATGGACATCAGGGGTTTGGACAAAGAGAAAAGATGGCCCAGGCCTTGCATATCATCAACATGTCTGCTAAATCTAGGATATATTTCAAATGTTGGGACCAGGGCACCCCCAGTGGCGCAGCGGTTTAGCGCCGCCTGCAGCCCGGGGTCTGATCCTGGAGACCCAGGATCAAGTCCCGCATCAGGCTCCCTGCATGGAGCCCGCTTCTCCCTCTGCCTGTGTCTCTGCCTCTCAGTCTCTCTCTCTCTCTGAATAAATAAATTAAAAAAAAATACTTATAAAAAAAAATGTTGGGACCAAGCCCTAAAATGATGCACAGCACCAGGGGACCCTCAGTCTGCCTTTCTTATCCATGACGGATGATCTCACAGAGGGATGGGGGGCAACTTGCAGTAGAGGCCATCATTGTGCTATTTTTGTTTGCTAGATTTGTTTCACTTAGCAGCCCCTGACAGGTGACTCCGAGGCAGGTTTGGGTGTGACTATCCAGGTTCATCTGCTTGCAGCCTCTGGTCTAGGCCAGGCCAGGTCCACTGTGCCATATATTCCTACTTATGATGGAGGATGGAACCAGGCATCGTGACAAGACAGTCCTTTGCTGGAAGTCAGGCAGGATGCCTTAGGATCAACGTGCAAAGTAATTCAATCTTGAGTTTCTAAAACTGTATTTTTTGTTGTTTCATCTAAAATTTTTACAGAGCTTTATTTTTATTTTTTATGTTATTATTTTTTAAAGATTTTATTTATTTATTCATGAGAGACACAGAGAGGGAGGCAGAGACACAGGCAGAGGGAGAAGCAGGCTCCCCGTGGGGAGCCTGATGTGGGACTTGATCCCAGGACCCTGGGATCATGCTCTGAGCCACAGGCAGATGCTCAACCACTGAGCCAACCAGGGGACCCCAGTGAGCCATGCAGGTGCCCCAAATTTTTACAGAATGTTAAAACTAAAAGGAACATGGGGTGCCTGAAGTGGCTCAGTCAGTTAAGCATCTGCCTTCAGCTTGGGTCATGATCCCAGGGTCCTGGGATAGAGCCCTGTGTCAGGCTCCCTGCTCAGTGGGGAGCGTGCTTCTCCCTCTCCCTCTGCCCCTCCACCCACTCATGCTTTTTCTCTCCCTCTCAAATACATAAAATCTTTAAAAAAAAAAAATAAAAGGAACAAAATTGAGAAAGGCTTTGGGGCCAGACTGAGGCAAGTTTGAATTTTAGCCTTTGTCTCTTAGCACCTTACTATAGCTGTGTGGCTTTAAACAGTCAAGTCACCTGACTAGGCCTCAGTTTCCACATCATGGGAATCATAATACCTACCATATAGGATTGCTGCAAAGATTAAATAAGATAATAGAAATAAAACATCTAACAGGGTGTCTGGCACACAGAAAATAAAGTATGATAGTTATAATAGCCATTTATTTGTTTGTTTTTTAATAGCCGTTTATTTGATGAAGGTCAAGGTGGAACCTGGACTGGAAGGCAGGTCTCATGTTCCTCTGTCAAAAGACATCCCGCCTGACCACACCGTCTCCTCTAAAATGGCTCACGTTAGCCACCTGGTTGGTGGGAAGGGAGTTGAGATAACGAAACACTGTCTCAACCTCTCATCCATTTTCTCCCTCATATGTGTCCAGCAGGCAAGACTGTGAGGGAATCAGCAAGGGTCTCACCGAATCGGCCCACTGGCTCGGGAGCTCATTCTCTCCTGCATAGGACATCCAGGCCTGGCTCCTGTAGGATGAGGGAGGCGTCGGGATGAAGTAGCCGGTAAATCCGGGTCTGTTGGCAGCTGGGATGGCGAACACTGCCGGCACCGTATTACCTGGCATGGAGGAGATGGATGGGGAAGATTAGACCAGTGCCCCACCCACGAGCTGGGGGAAGCTGGGAACAGAGGGGAACTCTGGCATGGTGGGGAGGGGGTCATGAGGTGCGGAGCAGACCTTCCCCTGCAGCCCTAGCCCTGCTCACCTGCACAGTCATCTGCTCTGACTCGGACCTGGTGTTCTAGAGAAATGATGACCCAATTCCCTTCGCTGAACCCTCACCAACTCCCCCATCCATCCCAACACCTCTGACCTACTGGCGAGAAGGGACACCTCAATGTCCAGATAGTTTTCTCCCAGGGGGAATAGGTATTTTTAAAAAGAAAAGGAACCAAAAGGAAAGGACTCCACTGATGGAATTTCTGGACACAGTGAATATTTTAGGAAGTGTTGGCAACTGCTTGTTTACAGTTTTTTAGCCTAAATGGTACACTTTGAATAGACCACAAAAACCAATTAGGGCACGGATAAACCTTGACGTTCATTTCAGCATCGTTCATAATGGTGAGAAATTGGAAACAAGCTCATATGTCTCTCGTTAGGGGAAAAGATAAACCGTGGCATAGCATATCATCGAGTACCATATGGCAGTTTAAACAAACGACCTAGATCTACGTGTACGTACCCATCTTGAACACAAGGCTGAGTCAAGAAAACAAATGCAGAAGGACAGGCATAGTTTGGTATGACATCCGTGCGTGTAAAACACCGAGAGCCTTAATACACACTATTGCATATGCACTACTGCAAAAAAGTTACACCCTCAATTTAAGGATTGGGATTACCTCCGGGAAGAAGGGGAATGAGACAGGGCTGGATAGTTCTATCTGGAATGCTTTAAAGGTACATAGAATTTAAGAAGAAACCCTGAAGTCCAGCAAATGGTAACATATACCCTGACTGTTATCACATATCTTCCTATTTTTGTCATATTTCAGGTCTTTTAAAGAAATAGAGCAGCAGCTCTTCCAGCCAGGGCTGCCGCAGTCAGATATAACAGTGGCCTTGATTGCTGAGGGTGGCAGGTAGCAGGTGGCCTGTGCAGATCTGGGGGTGCAGGGGAGTGCAAGGAGCACCGGGGCTTTTTCCAGGGTTTCTCTGCTTGCCCACCTGAGTAATTTAAAGCCGACTGATCCAACTGCGCCACAGACACCGGGCCTCTGGACACCTGCGCGAAGGAGGCGCTGTCGTGCAGCTGGGCCGGCTCGGGGCCCGCGGACTCGGCCATCCTGGTCTTGCTGCCCACGTCGGAGGTGGACCTGGGGGCGCACGGGAGGGGGTGCATTAGCGGCTCCCCAGGCCCCCCCACCCCATGACCGTCACGGGGGGGGGGGCCTCCAGGCCCCAGGAGGGCGGGGTCCCCAGGCCTGGATGTGCCCCCCAAATGACAAAGGAGGCCAAGGCGCCCAGACCCTGAGCGCCCCCCAGCTGGAGTCACTTGCAGATAGTCAAGGTCACTGCTCCCCCGAGGTGGGCTGTCGTGTCCCTGGGGAGTAGCACACTTAATTTCCACATAAAGATAAGCCAAGCAATTAGCCCTGGGTATCAGCAGGGGGCTGGTGGCCCGGGAGGGGATGACATCATCGGCAGCCAATGAGGAGGCTCGGTCTGGATGCGGGGCCGCTCCCCCTCCAGGCACTGGGGCTGGTGACCTGCGGGTCGCCGGATGTCCCCCTGCTGCGCCAGCAGCAAGATCCCCAAGACTCCGGAAGCTCGGAAGCTCGGGCTGCTCTGGGAAGCCGGAGCCTAGCAAAGGCGTTATGAAAGACAGAATTTTTTTTTTTTTTTTTGGTCCCAAAGGCAAGCAGAGAATCCGGCCCATTAAACACATCAGATTTCCACTTAGTGCTCCGAAAGCCAGTACATAGGGGGCTGCCAGCGTCTCACCCTCTAAAGGGTACGTTAGCCGGTCTCTATCCTCCCCTTCACCCAGGGGCGTCAGGCTCTCCTACAATTAAAATGGGGGCAGCCAGGGCAGCCAGGGCAGGTGGCGGGCGGCCAGCCACACGGGCACCCTCTGAGCAGTGGAATGCCTGGTGCTGCAGGTGCAGAACAGAGCCGCAGCGCAGTGGTCTGGGTTCTAGCTTCTTCCCCCGGCTCAGCCTCAGTTTCCTCGTCTGTGAAACAAAAGGGGTGGGTGACCCCCTCGCCACGGCTCCTCCCAGCTCTGATCCTCTGAGTCTGTATGGAAAGCAGGCACCTGCTGATACCTGGCAGACAGTGTGGAAGGGCAGGGGAGGAGACTGGTGGTTGAGAGAAGGAGTAAGAAATAGATACTGGCCTTCAGCAAATGACTGATGGGAACCTCCTTGCATTCAGAATTCTCAGGGATAATTAAAGTAACCCTCCCACTAATGCCCGCGGAAGGTTAAACACAGGGGCTGTGATGACTGGAGGCTATATCAGGGTGGGTGCTGGAGGCTCGGTGAGTGTGGGGTCTCCCTTCCTTTCTCGATCCCTCCCCGCCTTTCTGCTGGTTGCTCTCTCCCACATCCCTGGCTTCCCACATACTATTCCAGGCATCTGCTACTAGTTTAGAAAACCCTCCCCAAGAAAATTCCTGGGTTGTGCTCCATACACTCAGCTCCCCTGGAGGAATCCCAGAGTCGCTGCGATCAGTTAGGCCCTTGGCCTCACTTTACAGGGAAGGAAACGGGCCAGACAGTTGAGGCGACTTCCTAAGCTTACACAGCAGGTTAGGATGGAGCCCTGGTCTGCTGCTTCCCACCCTGCCCTGAGCTCCATTGGAGCCAAGAGCTGGTGTCTACGCACAGCTCGGCATTTTAAAATCGCTGGAAATGAGGGCAGGGTCATTTCTGAGGGAAACTCATTTTTCTTCACCAGTTTTGCGAAGGTCAGACCTGTGGTCCCCAAATAGGGTGTGGCTAGCATTTTGCAGGGGAGGCTAGGGCGGGGGGGGGGGGGGTCAGGACAGTGGCCTAGCCCCATTCCAGGATACAGCTGTATCTTTAACCCTGGATCTGATGCCTATTTCGGCATCTCCAGTGCTCGTGGAGTTTGCATTTCTTGCCTGTCTTTATTTAAAACATGTGCTTGTTCTATCATTACAGAACAAAGACAACATATTTATTATATCTGAGTTATATCTTTATACCTGAGTTAATTCTTAACACATATCTGAGTTCACATGCTCTCAGCCTCCTGTTTTGGAAGTCAAGAGTTAGGGTGGGTGCCCAGACACGCTACTCCTTGGCCTCTTGGACACCACCTCTAAGAAACAAAGAGACTTCTGGGTGCCAAGAGATGCCCAGACTGGAGGCAGCCACCATAGTGGCCTGAGCTGGAATAATTTTCAGGTGTTAAAAGTCAGGGAATGGGGCTTTTCAGGGTATAGGTTGGTTGACCTTGGGTTTCTTCAATTGTGCGTTCTACAGGACTTCTCATTTCAAATGATAAGAAAGTTGGTCAACCCTCTCTGTGCTCCCACTTCCCTCATGGTACTTGGGGTGCCCCAGGGACGCGGTTGTCTGTACAGGTGATGCACCCTGAATGGAGCAAGCACGAAGGGAATCTGTTGTGTCAGGGTACACAGGACCAAATCCTTTCCAGACATTCCAAACAAGGCAAAGAAAGGAATGTGTTACCGCCTGAGAGAAGCAACAGCCACAGGGCCTGTCCGGGGAGGTACAGGTGGAGGGGGAGAGCCCATGACCATTTCAGGAAGCTGGGAAAACCTATATGCCTGTGAAAGAGACAAGCAATAGAGGAAGATCTATTAAAACACACTGTCAATCAATACATAGGTTCTAAAAACAACAACAACAACAACAAAACCCCAAAAACCACACAGGTTCTTTCCTTAAAAGGAAAGCAGACTTCCAGGTCAGATTTTCCTTTCTTCTTCCAACTCTTCCTTTCAATCTTCCTTATGTCCCCAGCCCCTGCTTCTATATCATCTCCAGGCATGCTCCTTGCTTGGACCATCGTAGTCACAGAGTCCTTCAGCTGATCTTACAATAAGCCAAGTTCTTTCCTGCCTCTGACTTTTATACATGCTGCTTCTTCTCCCTGGGATGCTTTCTCCCAGTTCTGCCCATGGTTTATTCCTCCGTCTCGTTCAGCCAGCCCCATGCTTCCCTAGAGCCCCACTTAGTCTCTCTCCATATTCTGCTTTATTTTTTGTCATAGCAACTGTCACTCTCTAGTATTTTATCATTGCTTGATTATTTATTATCTGTCCCCAGCTAGAGTGTAACGAGGGCAGGGGCTTTATTGTCAGCTATATACTCATGCCTGCAACGGTGCCCAGTATATTACACATGATCAATAAACAGCAGATGAATGAATGAATGTATCACCGATAGTATTTTACTTTCTGGCTCATGGAAAGCAGGTTTAATGGGAGGAAAGCAACAGATTTAGAGTCAGGAAGTATGGGTGGAGGCCTAGTTTGCTGATAGACTTTATGTCCCTAAGCAAGTTAGGTAACCTCTCTGGGCCTCGCTGTCCTCTTCTCAAATGGGGACAGGATGCCTAGCTCCAAGGGGCACTAGGAAGATCAGGTAAGTCAGTATACATCTTCCACAATCTATAAAGCACTATTCAAAGATAAAGGATTGGAACTGTCACAAGAGTGAAGACTTTAATCAACACGTGAGGGGATAAAAGGAAAACAGTAAGAGATCAGAGACGGGATCAGAGAGCCAGGCCACAACCTACCTTAGTGAGAGAAAAATCTAGAAATGCTCTCTGGGAAGACAAAGCTTAACTTGTGTTTCTCATTCATCTTTTTCTTTAGGTATCATGCCTGCTAGATCTCTTGAGGAGCAAGTTGACAAGACTTTAAGCCTGAAGGCATCAAGGACAAAAAAGCAGCAGCAGAGGGAATCCATAAATAGGGTTCTTTGAACTGAATGAGGTCTTCTCCCCCACAGCATAATGGCAGTCTACATACTCGTAAGGGCCGACCCATGAGCTAACAACTAGATCCTGGATGAAACATACCTCTTAATGCACTGTGGGTACTGCAAGATGTAAGGGAAGCCTCCAGGACACTACCCATGACCCACGCCCTCCCCGCTGCACACATCTCAGCAAACTAAAACAAAACCATGAGCTAAAACCAGAGATAGAAATAGCGATAAGCAAATATGAAAGGTGGGGTTGCCTGGAAGACAAGTGCCATGTTGGCAAATGATGAAGAGATCAAGCCTTGTGACAGGCAAGGGGGGGCGGCGGTAGGTGGAACTGAGGCACTCACAGCCTACCTGGAAGGGGCTGATACTGGTCCCTCCCAGGGAGGGAGGTTGGTAGTGCTTCCAGGCTCAGACAGGAGCATTTGTAAGTCCTCTTTGGAGGCGATCTCCCTAAATCAGGCTCTCAGGAATGGCACAGATGAAGATGAGCAGACAGGAGCTCATAATCACAGACCAGAAAACATAGGTGAAAAGTCAGGAGAAGAAAACCAAACAACAGATTAGATGTTTAAGGACTTAAGAGGTTAAGAGTTTCTGGATACGAAACAGAAAGCAGAAAGGTAAAAACATGTTTCTAAAAAGATAAATGACCAGATAGAGATATTATTAGGAATGATTGGGAAGATTTGAAAAAGAACAAATAGAATTTTTAAAGGTGAAATGTAATCACTAAAAGAAAACACAGGGGAATGAAGTAATTGATGTGCCATAGATGAAGAGAAAATTAATAAACTAGAAAATGGAATTGAAGAAATTACCAAGAATGAAGCACAAGGAGATAAGGAGATAGAAAATAGAAAAGAGCAGTAAAAAGTATGGAGGACAGAGTAAGAAGGTCTAACATGCAGCTAATCAAAGTCCCAAAGTCCCAGAGAGGAACGGGGTGATATTTAAAAAAGCAATGACTAAGAATTTTCCAGAATGGATAAAATCAATGATTTAATAAGTTCAGGAAGTACAATAAAACACACACACCTCGATTCATTGTGCTGAAATGGTAGAGAACCAAAGGCAGAGAACATCTTTGCATATCATCTACAAAGAGATGACCTTTAGACTGACATTGGACTTCGCAACATCACCCAGAAGACCACGGAATGCAAAGTGCTCAAAGAAAATAACTGTCAGCCTAGGATTGTATCAGCAGGGCTAACTTCCCAGAACAAGAATGAAAGAAAACATCCGCCCAGATCTAGAGGTACTGGCTGAATCAATATGGAAAGCTTCATTACCCTGCTGCATTTCCATTTTTTGAGCATCGATGAACTATGTATGCTAAGGTTGTATTCAGGGAACCAAAATCTGAAGCCACTAGATCCTAAGCTCCTTGGGTTTCAGCAACCATGGTACCCCCACCTTATGAAGCAAAATGCGTTGCATCTAATAGTGCTAAGTAAGTATTTGCTCAATCGATATTGAGTGAACTGGAGTCAGGAGACCCAAATTCTCATCTCGATTCAGCCATTCACTGTCTGTAAACATGTCATTCGGTCTCTCTGCACCTCGTTTTTTGTTTGTTTTTCATTCTCCCTGTGAAATAAGGCATTGGATATAACTCAGGGGCCACCAAACACACTTTTCTATAGCCATGAAATCATTTTGACATAACCTGACTACAGATTAAAGCAGAGCTTCTCTGGTTGAAGCTGGTGATGGAGGGGGTGGAGTGTGTGCTGGTGAATTTGGCCCTTCACTTACCTGCATGATGACAACCTGGGACCTCCCTGAATGCTAAGGTTTTGCAGAGAGTTTGAAAATCATCATCTTGGATGGTGTACTTTCCAGCTTGTACTCATTATCAACAAACCATCAAATAAGGACATGCCTTTCCCAAAATAGAGACAGGGGTTTATAGCCCCTCTTCTCTCTTCTGGCCTGTCGCAATACTCGGTAGAGGAGACAGACAACTTATTTTTATCCCTGATTCCCAGAAGGCTTATCCATACTCAATATAGTTTTTCAGCCAAGAAAAAGCCTTTCTAAGCCTGTGTCTGTCCTGTAGCACTTCACCAAAGAATGGATTAAAAATTCTGAAATTTCAGTAAGTACCAAGGTGACTCCTTTCTTTGGAAGATTTTTCCAGATACAATCAAGACTGCAAGGGAAATCACAGTCCCCTTTGGGCTGTACACTCAGGGCCCTGGGGTGGCCACAGGGGCCACATAAAAAGTAGAGCTTGTGCCCTGTGCTTGGGGGCTGCGAGGATGACCTCTCCTAGTGTCTTTCCCCCTCCCTCACTCCATGCTGGTTCCCCAGACTTCTAAGCCCCCACATTCTGGTTTCTCTTATTATGTATCTGAAGTCTTGGCTTTCTGCTGGCTACTTTGTGACTGGGATTTCACTGGAAGCTATTGCTCAAAACTGTTGCCTGGTTCCAAGTTCCCAGTATCAGGACAGTAACCATGAGGTACCTAGCCTGGCACCCAAGGGCACCATCTTTTGGGATCCCTGCCCTTTGGCTAGGAAGGAGATCAAAGACTCAGAACTGAAGGCAGTCCTTGTATCTAAGTCTGAGGTCTCTTAGGTGGAAGGAGACTGGGTGTGACTAGAGTAGGCCACTCTTTGGGCTTGGAAGTTTGGTTTTAAGCATCAAAGGGGGAAAAGGTGACTACATAGTCTATTCAAAGTTTCAGTCATGATGTCCTTGGGAGGGGATGGGAGTGGTTCAAGGCCATCCTCTCTAGTAATCTTAGTCGAGAGGGAGCCCAGGTGAGGCCCACAGTGTGCTGGTCCCTCCTTGTGCATGTACATCCATTTAGAAGGAGGAATGTTGTCAAGTTCAATCTCAAGGGTAGCACTACAGGGATGACAGGTCAAAGGGGGCGGCCTGTGGCTGGAGGGACCAAATCAGGGGGTCCCAGGCTTTGTACTGGTGGGGGAGGAAGACTGGCAGGCCACATCAACCCACCCTCTTTGATGGCTTTTCTCCAGTATCAACAAGCCAGCCTCAGATCAGGGTTGACGCACGCACCAATCTCTCCACACCTGCTAACAGTACTGGGCTGCACTGCAATGGTGCCCCTTCCATGGGGCTGACACGGACAACACTGCTCCAGGCAAAACAGGCATCTACATGTGGCTGTAAATAACTTTACATCCTGGTGTAGGAAGTAAAATCTTCCAGAAGGATAGTTCTTATGTAGTGAAAAACAGAGGACTTGGTAATTGAAGACTAACCCCATGGTGAAAACCCAAGGCTTATCTTGATCTGTCAGTTCACCATGAGCTACTGATAGAGCCATAGCTAAGGCTTCCAAGGCCTCAGGAATCACAAAAGGTTCAAGCTGGAAAGAGAGCAGGAGACCTTGAGACCATATCCCTTACCTTAACCAAGGGGGATGCTAAAGCCAGAGGGGTAAACTGACTTGTCCAAAATCCCACAGCCAGTTAAGGACACCATCTTGCCATTCTGAGCTAAGGGTAGTGTGGTACAGATGGCATGGGTTTGAAATCAGACAAGATCTGGGTTGAGGGGCACCTGGGTGGCACAGTGTTTGAGCAACTGCCTTTGGTTCAGATAGTGATCCCGGGGGTCCTGGGATCGAGTCCCACATCAGGCTCCCTGTGAGGAGCCTGCTTCTCCCTCTGCCTGTGTCTCTGCCTCTTTCTCTGTGTCTCTCATGAATAAGTAAATAAAATATTATTTAAAAAAAAACAAAAACAAAAAAAAAACAGGGTTGAAATCTGGCTTGATTTTTACCATCTGCTTGACCTTGAGCAATCTGCCTTGTCTGTGCCTACTTTCTCACTAGGTGATGGTGGTTGG